TCTCTCTCTCTCTCTCTCTCTCTCTCTCTCTCTCTCTCTCTCTCTCTGTGTGTGTGTGTGTGTGTGTATGTGTGTGTAGGTGAGAGAGACAGAAAGACAGAGACAGAGAGACAGAGAGAGAGAGACCCACTGTGTAGCTCTGCCTGTTCTTGAATTCTTGTTGTAGACAAGACTGGCCTTGAACTTATATAGATGGTCCTGGCTTTGCCTCCTGAGTAGTGGGACTAAAGTCATGCGCACCACATCAGCCCCATTGTCTATCTTATATTTAGTGAGTACTCACAAAACAAAGCACAGTGCTATTACTTCCTAAAGAGTTATAAGACAGGCCCAAATGAGAAGAGATGTGAACAAACTAGTGTTGTTAATGGAGGTGTAAATTTAGCATATTGTTATCATTGTTTTTGTAATTACGGAAAATAAATCTATTTATAGCCAGTTTTTGCTTTAGTGCTAACCTCATGCCGAAATTAAAAAGATCACTAGACAGAACTTCAGTGGTTTACAGCTAGAGAATTCAAATTTTAACTCCAAAGTACTAAAGGCTTGTTTGACTTTGCGGGTGGGGGAAGACTGCTGCTAAGAGACAAATTTCTATTAGTAGGAAATCTTCTGGAAATTGTTCTGTTAAGAACCTGGCAAGCTCACAAATATGACAGATGGGCTGAAAATTAGGAAGTGTATGCTAGAAGACTTTATGTAAGAGGTTATATGAAAAAACATCCCCCATTTCCCTGGTTATGGATTGATAGCTGATCATTGTAGCTTATGAACTGCTTGAATAATACTTTTTTTTAAAATTTGGTCCGTTTTCTCTATTTCTAGGTTTGATTCTCATAAAGGCTTCTGGTGTCAACTGCTGGAAGAAGGAAAAACAAAATGCCTTGGGAAGAGTAAAGGAAGAAAATACCCGCCGATGGACTCTGATGTAAGTGTGGAATCCAAAAACATAAAAGGGAGCAAGGATAAACAATAATAATAATAATATCACACACAATTTCTTAGAAAAGTGACTGAGATCAAAATTCAGGCTTTATACAAGCTAGAAGTCAGACGGTCCCCTCCTGCTTTCTTGTGCACTTCGCGTTACAGACTTACTTCCTTCACAAGAGCCAGGAGGCATTGGTGGAGCAAGGGCACTTAGCTGTGGCTGCACCACGAAGGAAGTATCACCTCTACCTAACAAGCATTACTGACCCAGCTGGAGGAGGGACGGGGAGGAGGAGAAGAGGGGACAGAAACTGGGTTGAAACTTACAGCATTCTATTATGTGAATGTATGAAAGCTGTCAGACGATTAGAAATGGGAAATAATAAGATACAAAATAACAGTATTTCAGAGAAATTTGTATTAAAATAATACAAATTACTATAAGTAAATAAATACATACATTTAATAAGTAAATAAAGGGTGGGAAAGAGTGCTATACAGCTAAAGGTTCCTGCTACCTATGCCATATGTGCTGGGAAGGAAGAACCAACTGGTTTGAACTCTCCTCTGACATCCCCTATGCCAGAACATGTGTGCACACACACACACACACTAAAGAAAATCCAATTATATAACATCTTAATTAAAATTAAAAGTAGTTTTTGTGTTTCGACATATCTAGATTGGTGTGTTGACTTTTCCATTTACATAACTGATATCTGCATTCCAAGGATGAGAGAAAGTAGAATTTGTGACTATAAATCTGAAAAGCAGGTAACATGAAGAATGATAACCACAGAAGAATGATCCCTGCTGAGCAGAAATTGCACTGCTAAAAATGTCAGCAAAGCCACAACAGGAAATATATCAACCAGAAATTGAGAAAATATTTTCTGTTTTCAATGGCAAATAATCCTGTAGAACATGCATTATAATGTTAGCTGCTAGTATAATATACTAAACTTTTAACTGTTGGAATGTTAGCAAGACAAAATAATTAATATACCTCTCAATTGTCAAGCACACCAGCACACAACCTAGTCCATGAGAAATGGATACGTCCATGGTGTTACCCAGTATTTTGTTTATTCTGCTCAGAACAATGACATGGTGCACTGTCATTCTCATAGTCTGTGTGCCCTGTATTTTTCCTTTATGCTTATTTTGCATATGCTAATATTTACTCATAGTATATTTAGCTTATACTTTGACTATAAGAATCAACTTGATTATTATAGTTGTTTTAGAACTCAGAAATTTAAATATATGGGAACTTTTTCTTACAGTATTTAATACATTATGTTAACTGACAATCCCAAGGTGGTCAAAATTGCTCAGTAATCTGTATTTATTTGACCAATTTTTATCCTTCAAAATTTGGAGGACTACTTGTTATACTGGTCTGATAGACAGGACCTCAGTGAGGTCACAATTAAAGTCTGTACAGAAGGCATAGAAAAGGGAGAGACTTATTGTTTTCATAAAGAAATTACATTATAAGAAACTTTTTGAGTGACTATCAAAATATATCACGCGATCACTGTGAAAACAGTCAGAATATACTAAATGCTATTGAGAGGTAATTTCTCCATTGTTTCAACTAAAATAAAAATATAAAATATAATATTTTTTACATCAAAACTACTTCTGTAAATAGTTATTAAAACTAAGTACATCACTAAGACACTAAGGTATATCTTAGCATTTATTTCACTCTTGTCTAACATAGACAGAACTGAGATACTGTATAAAACTGGTGCTAGTCTAGAGAAACAAGAAAAACATGGCTGTAGATGTCAACAAGGTCACTCTGTAAATGTATGTTAAGTTTACTTAAAGGAATAAAGTATCTGACACTGTGTAAAAAGTCTCCAAACTGGAGGCTCCACAGAAGGATGGAAACACAAACCTGACTGGAGTAGCAAGCTTTGCCACACAGTGGCCATCTCTCCTACTTCAGACTCCAGACAAAAAAAAAAAAAAAAAGCAAAGTATCCCAGGTTGTGGCCAACACAGTTCACGTGCTTCACTCAAACCTCAACCCATATCTGGTACACAAGGTACTTATTTCAGCAGAGTCAACATGCATGGAAATATTTTAGTAAAATAAAATATGCGTTTCTCCCTCCTTCACACAGAGCAGAGCGTTTCTGTCCAGCTACTACCGCGACCACAACGTGGAGCTCTCGAAGCTGCTGCACAGGCTGGGGCAACCTCTGCCCTCGTGGCTGAGACAGGAACTGCAGAAAGTGAGGTAGCATGAAGAAGACAAGAATCTGCCTGCGTACTGGCACAGACCTCATCCAGCGCTCACAGACGCTACCAAAAAGCTGTCAATCACATACCTCTGCATCACAGAAAAGAAGCGAGACTCTTCCATGTGCTGGCATATGGATGACTGTGGAGGGTCGGGCATAAAAAGTATCTTTAAGAAGCTCCCAGGCTTATGGCTGTCCTCTTAACCCATATCTGATTCATGTGGAACAGCAACCAGCATAAATTTTAAAACAAAACAAAAACCAGAAACACTCACACAGACATGTTCCATTTCATAGTAATATTTACAATTTTGTATCTCAGCTACAGTTGTATTTCTGTAGATAGATTTCTGAACCATTGTTTGACTGTAAAATGTTTTCTTACTTGATTCTGTGAAGTATCCTATAAACATGACGACGTCGATTTCCAAAAGTGTGAAAAATGCTGCCAGCATAGGCTGTGGTTGTGCGAGAGAACAGGAATGGGGAGCAGTCTGTGGACTTTGTCTCCCAAAAGAGACAAAGAACAGAGAAGCAAAGGAGGTGGTTCTCCTTGTACACAGTCCAGTGCGCTCATGCTGATATAGCTATGTATTGTAAACATGGCAGACAGGAAACAGAAACCCATTTTTACATCAAGATAGTGAATGTTAGTGGAAGAATATTGACTAAATCCTCTAAGAGAGAGATGGTGAGCATCTACAGATACACCACTGAGAACTCTTTGCTTTTCTGCTGTAAGCTGCTGGTCTGTTCTGGCCACCTCCAGTTGTACCAAAATGCATGTGGAGTCTGCAGGAAGTGTTCTCTCTGAGTCATAGCAACCTTTAAATGTGCAGAGCAAAGGCCAGAGAAATGGCTCCGTGGTTGAGGGCACTGACTGTTCTTCTAAAGGACCCAGGTTCAAATCCCAGCACCCATATGGTAGCTCTAACTGCCTGTAACTCCCAAGATCTGACACTCTCACATAGACAAACATGCCGGCAAAACACCAATGCACATAAAATAAAGGTTAAAAAATTTTAAAGTCTTCATAAATATGCAGAATAGCTACTGAACAAACGCTACTAGCTAAAAGCTAAGGACAGTTCCTTGAGGTGTTTAATTGAAGTACTCAGATTTAAATTATTGCAAAACTGCGTTTTTCCATGCAATCCCAAAGAAAGTTGTGTAATATACTGGCTTTTGTGACAATGGACTCATATATAAATTTTCATCTACTATATAAAATGATGGTTGTGCTTCAAGGTGGAGCGAGCAGGTAAAGTCCCATGTTTGAGAATGCCTCACATATTGTCCATATCTTTGCCCAACAGCAGAGCATCGTCAACTGTATGAACTGTCTACGGTAAGAATCACAGGGAGTACAAGGATGAGCTTGGCTCTCGAAATATAATTTAAATTAGACACATGATGAGTCACGGATTCAAAACAAGAGTACAGTAGATCACACTTCCCTGTGTTAACATAGACTTAATTTTATTGTAATTGACACATATGTAAATATAAGGAGAACATTACTCGCTGTGATTGCACACACTCCTATAAAGAATTCTAGAAGGTATGTTTAGAAAAACGATATGCCAGAAAACCAATGGCCTGAATAGTTCTATCTGTCATTCCAATGCATAAAACTCTACCCTTGCAGCTATTTGCCCATTAAAAAACAAGAGTGAAGTGCCCCCGCTCTCTACTTATTTCCTTACATCCTTATTTCTAGAATTATTGATTTCTCTATTTAAAGTTTTCCCATCATTGATGAACTCAAAGAATACAGTGATTTTTTTTTTTAAGCACTTACCAGAAAGAGTTGGCTAAACAACCAAATTTTAAGAACCCTGACTGAGAGGCCAAATCAAAATACAGTGAAATGAGTCTTCCCTCTTATGACTGCCACTTTGAAAGCAACACCTGCCAAGCCCAGCAGGACAATCATCCCTCACATCCGCAGCCATTAATTTAAGAAAATTGGCTCAAGGGGTCGTAAGACCCAACAGCTCCAGCTGTTTGTCTCACTGGTGACAACATGTCAGCTCAGGAATCAAGTGGGGAAATAAGCTGACATATGTCTCCACCTTTGAACCTCTAGATAAATTGGCTACTGACATCCTTTAATGTAGGGAGACAGTGCCTGTAAAATAAATGGCAAAAATAGCACTTATAATGAATGAGAAAAAAAGAGACGGTACCCAGACCTGCTCACTCCCAAGTACATGTCAGATGCCATGTAGGACAGCAACCCTTTCAAAGGGTTTTGACCACTAGGCATGTCAAAGAGGCAGCTCCAAATTCTGGAGGACACCCACGTTTCACACTGTGAGCTCCAGCTGGCTATTATGCTATCCTGAAAGCGACAGAAGTCTGGGAGAAAAGAATGGGAAAGAACATGATTCCAAACTAGCTTTGTATAGAATTCCCTTTTTCATGACTTATAATACGGGGCTTCCTCAGGAAGAAATGAAATGGTTATTTCAATGTTTATAGCTATAATATTCTTGTCATTCACATTGAATGAAAATTATTGGGAACATTTTTTTTCTCTGGGTTTTTTAAAAGAAAAAAACCCTCTATATAATTCTAAAAGTGGCATGATACCTCATATGTATAACAATAAACTGGTAAGAAAATAGAGATGTCGGGCCTGGTGATTTCAGGTAATGAGAGGGTATTTGTTTTGCTGGGGGTGGGGTGGGGTGGGAATGGGTCATGGTCAAGAGTTCAAAGGCACACCATTATGATTTAAAATGGAGAAGTGAGTGAAAAGCTTAGTAGGCAATGAGGAATTTCTGTCCCGGTTTTGCCTGCTAACAGGACAAAGCTGAAGCTTCCAGGACACTCATGGACTCTTTTCTCTCTGTATAATTTCAAGAGGTATGAACTAGTTTGGTTCACAAAAAATAAAAATAAAAAAAAAATAGAAAATAATCTCTTCAAAAGAACATAAAATGAGGACAGGAATTAGACCTGTATCCTCATCCTCCATAAACTTTCTTTCCAGGACACTAGATTTTCTCACATCACAACCCCTCCCACCCCTGAATTATTATTACCCAGAGTATAGTATGCTCTTCTTTCCAAATGTATCATCCTAGGTTATGTCAGTGATGGGTAATGAACCCACCCATCAGTATTCCTGGTTTAAAATAACAATACTAGTGGGTTTCAGGAAGAGCATCCCTGCAGCCTAGAAGCACTTACTTTTTAAGGAATGACTCATTAATCAGAGAACACTGAACCAGTGATACCAATATGTTTTTTCTTTATTTCAGATTACACTCAGTACCTGATATATCTTCTGTCAATAGAAGCAACACCATAATCTCCCCCATCTTTGTGTGTGTGTGTGTGTGTGTGTGTGTGTGTGTGTGTGTGTGTGTACGCATACCTGCATGCCTGCGTGCATGCATGTATGTGTGATTCCCCTGGAGAATACTAATGGATATAGTAATGAAAGACACAATTAGAATGTGGCAAGGGGATATATTTTTCATTTTTTAACACTATAATTCTTCCTTCTCTAAGATATTCTAAATAAGTTGTTGACACGTAGCTGGCTCTGATTTTGGTGATTTAACAATCTGTGTTTTTTACGTTTAGGGGTTTATCAGCAGAAACTCACAGGTTTCTTCACTGCGTCTCCAAATCATCATGTAGCTAAATCAAGCAGTTAGCAATCTTTGTTGAAGAAACACATACTCTGTGGTTCACAATTCTCAAGAAACTATTTCTGTGTTGGCTTCAATGTTCAGTGTTTTCACTTACTCTAGTCCAAGGCTGGTTCAGGCCTATGCAGCCAGTCCGTGAACTTGCCCTTTGGCAGTAAGGACAAAGGAAAGTGTGGTCAATTTTATATGAAGTTGACTAAACCAAATTAACTATTGTTTCTGTGTGTGTCTGGGAGGCCTTTCTGGGAAAGAGAGGTCTTCCTCCTCTGGCTGCCTATTGCCAGGCCTTCCTTACCATATTGGGCTCCCCCTCCGGTACTATAAGCCCAAATAAACTCTTCCTTCTATATAGTTTCTTTGGTCTTCAATTTTATCACAGCAACAGAGAAGAAACTAATATAATATTTAGCTATAGTATACATTCTATTATATTTATTGCATATATGGTATGTATCAGTTCTATTTCTCTGAAGAGAAATATATGTAATATATGCAGTGTAACATTAATTCTATCTCCAGGAAAAACTCTATAGAGTATCTTATAAAATGTAGCCCAGTGTATCAAGAAAGAAGAAGGAGAAACATTTCTTCCCAGTACAACCACTGGTTCCTTCCATGTATTTTCACCAATTTTTGTACATGAGAATCATCTATCTAGTCAGTGTTCCTCATAAATGATAGAGTCGAATTCATGCATTTATTCCTTCATATAGTAAAGATATGTTTAACTTTTCCTAACACTCTCTTGCATTAATCCTGCAACTACCCTAATCTTTGAGCTTCTATTATTCCCATGTCTATTGCCAGGAATAACAAATACACAGATTCATTAGTCACTTACATTGGAGCTGGCTACATGTCAACTACTCACTTAGGCGGATGTCTTAGAGAAGGGGAATCATGAACAATATCAATAAAAAAGAAGAGACATTCACACGCAAAATTCCAGTCAAATATCTTGTTTACTATTATGTTAGGATTCTTCAGAGAAATAGCACAGGGGCCAGGGGGAGTTCTCAGAAAGAAACTGCACCTTCCACTGACTCTCTGCAAGGCCTGTGAGTGATTAAAACCTCACTGGTTGTGGAAAAATTGGAGTGTTGCTGAGCTAAAACCCAAGTACAGTTATCCTTGGTTATGTCCAGTCCCCTCACAGGCATTCCTTGTCCACTACTGTGTCTGACCTAACATCCTGTGATCTAACCGGCAAAAACCTTTTGGAATGTATTAACAAAATTCTAGCTTCCACCAAGCGAAAGGCTAAGAGTGTCATTGGATAACATTTGGTGCCTACAGCCAAGAGTTCCCCTTTCCTATAACCACATACTCATGTTTCCACCAGTGTATTTGAAAAATGCCTCGACTTCTGACTGTCTTTGTTCCATTACCAGAGTGGAGCATGGAATTCGGAGTAACCTCTGTCTGTATTCCCAGGCTATGTTCACTCACATGTGGCTTCAGAGTAAACTCTTACCCACTTTTAGGTGAGAGTTGTAGGTTGTGTTTTGTTTTGTCACTTGTGTTGATAATACAAAATAGATAGATACATAGAGGTGTATAGAATACTTTTATTTTATATATATGCATTTATATTTTATATAAAAAGCTATAGAAGGAAGGGTAAGAAAATGATTCAGTCAGTGAAGCCAACGCTGTGCAACCATGAGGACCTGAGATCAGCCTCCAACATTGAAATAAAAGTAAGGGACAGCAATGTTCTTTTTAACCCTGAAGCTGGAGAATGCCGAGATAGAAGGATCTATGGAGCTCACTGGCCAGTCAAGCAAAACTGTACTCCAAGTTCAATGGGAGATTTTGTCTCAAAAAAAATAGCATAGAGAGCTACTGAGGAAAACACCCAATATTTACCCCTGGCCTCCACACCCATATACCCATGCATATAAACACCTATATACACCACACACAAGAGCTCTAAAAATATATATATTCATTCTAGCCTCAAGAGGCAGCCGGGTAGTGGTGTATATCTGAGTCTGGTTGGAAGCATAGCAACCAGAACAGATCAGCTTATAGCCTAAGCACCTAGGCAGAGGTGATTCAACCTTCTTCCACATGAATTGGACTTTCTCAGCTTACTGGTATTAGTGCTAATCTCAGCACTCAGCCAGCCACACCCAGAGACAATAGCTAACCAGTGATCTGAACATTCTGTGTCTCAACCAAGCTGATGAATAATATGAGCCATCATATTTACAAACAGTACCGTTCAAAGGAAGTAAAGCAGATTTTACTAATAAATGCTCACCGTGGCCTAAAGTCCCTAAGATTGTTGAAAGAATGTGTTTTCCACATTTTATACCACAGTAGACTAAATTGAGAAGATAGATTTTCAAGCACACCAAGCTCATGATGGATTTTACATTAAACACTCTCAACATTAAGTTTCTTGAGAAATACCTTAAGTAAAGGAAAATGGCCGGTCTACATCTCTGCTGACAAAAGTCTTCTGTAACAGTGAATTAGTTAAGTTGCTTTAGCTTCCCGTGGGTCCTTCGTGTGTGCTGCACCTGCCCAAGAGCTCTCTGGATTCACGAATGAAAGACACACACATGCCAGTTAATTTTGACATGCCTTGACTAGCTCAATGGTTGGTCACTTGTAAACCTCCCCACAGCTAGCAAACACTACCCTTCAGTATTCCTGTGTTAACATCTTTTAAAATCTATATTTCATCTCTGCTACCCCAGACCCAACTGGGGCCACTTGCCCAGACGCTTAAATGCCGGCGGGCCTGTAAGCTTCATCTTTCTGCTTCCCTGTCTTGGCAGTTCCCTTTCTCTCCTCTCTCTCCCCTGGTCCTTTGCCTAAGGTCCTGCCTCTGTCTCCCTGCCCAGCCATGGACTGTACAGCAATTACCAATCAAAGCCAGCTGGGGTAAGGGACCCTCAGGTCTGAAAGCGCCACCTTTGAGAGTCAAATTAAGACAAAACATTAGAACCAATTCCCAACAGTCTTCTGTTCAATCAACAACTACAAGAGCAAGCTGACTCTGCTCTTAAGCGAAGTTATGCATGGCTTACACAGTTGGACCACAGAAGACTCATCTTCATCTTCTTTTTCGGAACAGCATTCTGACCCTAAAATTTATTTTCTTTTAAGTTTCAACCGTTATTAGAGATTTTAAAGCAAAACACTGGCCCCTGTGGTACCCATAGTCTCAGCTCTACTACCCATCCCAGTATATCAGTTAAAGGGACTGTAGGAATGGTAAGTTGTAGAGATTTCTTCAGTGTGGGCACGCTGGCAAGTGGGACAGACGAAGGTGCATTATCCAAGTTCATCTTTAGGGTTGCTGACATGAGGTCTAGGTTTGAACAGAGAAAGAATTGGAGTGTAAGTAAGATGGGGACAGGAGATGTGTCCCCTGCGATCATCACTGAACACTCCCTTCCTTCTGCGTCTGCAGCGGAGTTCTGAGTAGCAACATGCACCAGACATTGAGAACTACAGAGAATTGAGTCTGTGGATATGAATCCTTCTCAACTGATGGACATTAAAAGGCTGAGCAACTCACCATCTTTATCCAAAATATCCAAGGTTGGTAATATGAAACCCAAACCTTGTCTGCAAAGGGCGGAGGCTCTGGACTGTTGTAAGAATAGGCTGTGGGAAAGATTTGCCCCAAACTCTCAAATCAAAACATCCCATTTGATAGGGCTGGAGACAGTTAAGAACACTTGCTGTTCTTGCAAAGGACCCAAGTTCAGGTCCCATCACCCCTATCTGGTAGCTCACTACTGAAGTCGGAGCCTGGAATTCCAACACCTCTGATGTCCACAGGAAACACCACTCATATGTATATACACACAGACATACACGTATACATATTCGTGGGGATCCACCAAAGTCCTGAGTGAATGTGTATTATTGACGAGGACCAATGAATTCCACAGAGGATTTGCCAAGTCTTCCTCCAGGTAAGGATCAGGGATATGCCAAGCCTTC